AAAAAAACGGAATCCGCAAAAAAAAAAAAAGTTGATAGTTGTATTGTATTTTTGTCTCGACATTAAAAAACGAACATAACACATTTTTGAAGATGGTTTAGATTTGCAATCCGAACTTCATAATGAGCAAAAGACGAAATCCGGGCCACAAAAAAATAATAAATCGGCAATGATTTATATTGGCATAACATTAATTAAGCCCAAAGTAAAGACGTCTATATAGATTATTCTGCAAGAAAATAAGACGGTTTACATCCGCGATGCGTGCTTTATGTTGGCCAAGACCCGAAATTCCGACCCCCCCCCCCCACCCCCCACGGAAAAAAGGCAAATCGGCAATGATTGAAAATGTTATAACATTTAGCCCAAAATAAAGAATTCTATTTAGTTTATTACTACTTTTTAAATATATCGTGATTTAACATATCTATCTACCTATCCCCTACCTGAATTCAGTGTTTATAACTGGTTGGTCAAGAGAGAACACAGCCAATGACTACACCAGACAGGAACAACACTAGGATGAATACAACCGCATCTAGGGTCCGCGCCAGAGAACGAAGATATTTGATRAAGTGGTACAGTCTACCAGATGGATGCTCAGGCCATGGATCATTCTAAAATAAGAGAAAACGTCGCTAGCAATTGACCACGTTAGAAACAAGACTGGGGCGAGTTTTGAATTTGAATTTAATTAGCAAAAGATTCCTTCATCTGACAACGCACGTCAATATCAGTAAGTCTGTGAAACCGACTACCGCCACCCGGTAGCTCAGTTGGTAAGAGCGTCGGTCTGTTGTGCGGAAGGACGTGGTTCAAGCCTCGGCCTGGACAACACTCAGGGTCTTAAAATAACTGAGGAGAAGGTGCTGCCTTTGTAATTACATCTGCAAATGGTTAGACCTTCAAGTCTTCTTGGACAAGGACTTAAAACCTTAGGCYCCGTCTGTCTTCACTATATAACCCTGCATAAGGCGGACGTAAAAGATCCACTGAAGACGCTGGTGACGACCATCTTCAGTGCCCGTGCTAACCGGCTGCCTTATCAATTGGGTCGCAAGGCCTGTTAGGCATCAAGCCGTCCACCCACCAGTGGTAAACGCATTAGACTAGACTAGAGAAACTTGAACGTGGTTGGATAAAAAGGACCAGAGTTACAAGCTTTCTAAAGCATGACCTCGAGCCAAATATTTTCCTTACCGGCCCTTCCACTTAGTCAATAAGTACATAGTATTCSCAGAGGTACCCCTTGTGTACGTAATGTWCATCCACGGAGTACCCCTTGGGTTTATCAACATGTTCATTACCTTAGTCAATAAGTACATAGTATTCCCAGAGGTACCCCTTGTGTACGTAATGTACCTCCAGGGAGTACCCCTTGGGTTCATCAACATGTTCATTACCTTAGTCAATAAGTATATAGTATCCCCAGGGGTACCCCTTGTGTACGTATTGTACCTCCAGGGAGTACCTCCTTGGGTTCATCAACATGTTGATTACCTTAGTCAATAAGTACATAGTATCCCCAGGGGGTACCCCTTGTCTACGTATTGTACCTCCAGGGTGTACCTCCTTGGGTTCATCAACATGTTTATTACCTTAGTCAATAAGTACATAGTATCCCCAGGGGGTACCCCTTGTGTACGTATTGTACCTCCAGGGTGTACCTCCTTGGGTTCATCAACATGTTCATTACCTTAGCATAACCAAAGTGGTTTAACCATGTGACCAGGGAGGGTTCATTTAAAGATACGATAGGCAGGTATTCTCCCGTGTATTCTCTTGTCCACCAATTCTTGATCAAGCTGCAATAATTTATCAATAAATCATTAATATATTGAAAATTGATCAACAATTTGCTATTATCAACATCATAGACATCATCACGATTGTCATCGTCACCATGCACCATCATTATTATAACTATCATCATCATCTTCAACATTATCAACATCATTACCATCATCATCATCACCACCATCGTCATAATCATCATACCACCATCGTCACCATTATCATCACTAACATCATCGTCACCATCATTATAGTCATCTTCACCATCACAATTATCATCAGCATTATCATCACCATTATTATTATCATCATCACCATCATCATTACCATCACCCGCATTGTCACCATCATTATCATCATCTTCACCATAATCGTCATCAACATCATCATTATCACCATCATCATCATCGTCACAATCACCATCAATGACATTATTACAAAGCAAGCAAAGGTAGCATTATGGTTGGAGCAGAGAAAGAACGGCCACTCAAAACAAAGGTATAATGCAATACCCCAATATATCCCAAGATGCACTGTATACTAATAAAACGTGTAAGTCCTTACCCAGCATTATGGATAGCCTCAAACACATTACTAGTATTCTTCGGCAGCCTGGTATAGTGATATTTATAAAGGTGTGCTC